CCTAGTCTCTGTTGGAAATAGCAACCTTCTTAAAGCCTCCACTGTAATGTGTTTGCGTATGATTATGTTCCGCTTACTGTATTATATACATATGTTTTGGTATGCAGCTTCCTTAACTCTTTGCTGTTTGAGGTTGCAGGTTAGGGCTTAACCCACTGCGACATCGGGGGCTCCTAACATATGAACAAAGTGGATAGAAAAAAAGACCTTCTATCCTTGAAACAATACATTACCATACTAGTACTGGTATGACCGACCCTGACTGGGACCGTCTTCCACCTGGAAACCGATGCCCTCACTGCAGGAGAATATGCAGATCAAGAATAGGGCTCCACAGCCACCTACAAACCCAACGCCAAGACACCAGGCTTGGAGGACCATCATCCTCGGGCTACGAGGGCTCCCCTACATAAGGTATGACTAACTGAGTGTGGGGTTCTTGACAGGTTATGAGTCAAAACAAACATTCCCAGTCTAAAACGCCTACAAATGAGATTTTTATTGTTGCCGTTATTGAACCATTGACCACTGAGTCTTTCTTGCTTGCTCACTTGCTCTTGGCATAGTTGGTTATACGGCTGAGTGTGCAAGAACCAGGCCATTCATATTCCTTCCGATTTACTTGGTGAAACGGACCTCCCATCTTTCCTCAAATCATGACTTTACAAAAATGGATCGCATGGATTTCCACATGGTGCATATCTGCCTTCAAATCACCTGTCAACTTAAGAAACCCCGTGCATTTCATTGAGTTTTCTTAGGCAAGGACGACTCAAAAGCGGTTGTGCCAGTTCCTTCCTCGGAAATACAGCCTACGGCACATGCATTAAGGAGGGAGAGAGAGAAAAAAAACAAGTACAGCAACTTTTATCTCCATTCTCCTTTGACCTGAAGATTCTTCATGTAAAACTGAAGAGGTTTTGAAGAGCTTTGTATCTTTTTAATTGCATCTCATCCTTTTCTTCCTTTTCAAATTGCCTTGAACAGGCAGGGGTATTTTAAATACATATGTACTACTAGCCGTCCCCTGCCACGTGTTGCTGTGGCCCACATGGGGGTTCTGTGTTGGAGGTTTGGCCCAATTCTATCGTTCGGAATGCTCTGTGATTGTAGGTGAACTATAAATCCCAGCGATCACAACTCCCAAATGTCAAGATTTTATTTTCCCCAAACTCCAGCAGTGTTCACATTTGGGCATATTGAGTATTCGTGTAGAGTTTAGTCCAGATCCATCATTGTTTGAGTCCACCAGTGCTCTCTGGATGTAAGTGAACTACAACTCCCAAACTCAAGGCCAATGCCCACCAAACCCTTTCAGTATTTTCTGCCGGTCATGGGAGAACTGTGTGCCAAGTTTGGTTCAATTCCACCGTTGGTGTGGTTCAGAATGCTCTTTGATTGTACGTGAACTATAAATCCCAGCAACTACAACTCCCAAATGACAAAATCATTCTTTTTTTAGTGAAGGGCATACATTGGGTTGTTAGGTGTCTTGTGTCCAAATTTGGTGTCAATTCGTCCAGTGGTTTTTGAGTTCTGTTAATCCCACAAATGAACATTACATTTTCATTTATATAGATTGTGATTTTTATGCTTATATTGCTTTGTTCATTTTATGTTTATGTTGTTTACTCTGTATGTATTGATGATGTTACTTGGAAACTGCTCCGAGTCCTCTCGGGGAGATAGAGCGGTGTATAAATAAAGTTCTGTTGTTGTTGTTGTTGTTGTTGTAAGGAACCAGACTTTACTTTTTGCATGTTTTTATTCCATTATCCCCCCCCCCCCCCCCCGCCCCCAAAGATTGGGATCATTTAGTGGGGAAAGCAAGACATCAATAAATATAACTCCGGACATTCCTGCCCATTGCCGATGCTGGCTATGACCATTGGAGGCCCATCCAGACAGGGCACAAAATGTGCGCCTTTCCGGATATTAGCGGGGGGCGTCCAAATGACATCCCACGAAATCACGAATGCTTTCGGCACAAAGCAGGAAGACCCTGCTTTGAAAGGTGTTAGTCGAACCCACTATGGCCACTGTCTGGACTGCTCCCTGAGACATCCTGGATTTCTGAGAGGGCAGTCCAAACAGCCCTATCGGGGGTTTCTGGGCTGAATTTGCCCGGAAAACCATGAGGGCACCAACTTCCTCCCCAACCCAGCTCCCCCAAAAGCGTTTAAATATTACTGGGGTTACATTAGGCCTCGGAGCACATTTCCTGATATGTACCATTGCACGAAAGAAAGCGAGGAGGGCCAAATCACTCCTCCCCTCCACCTTGCTTTCTCACGCGTAGTCGTATATTCCAATAAATGTGCTCAGACCTAATAGCGGCTCAGTAAGTTCTTCACCATTTTTAGGGCTTTTTAAGGAGGGTTTTCTTGCTGTCTGAGTGCCCTGCTGGAAAGCCTGACAGGGCATGTGGACACCCAGGAAAACAAGTGCTTTCTGAGGCATGAGCGGACTTCAATGTGAGTCCAATCATGTTTCTGAAACTTGATCGCATTAAAGAGCTGTGTGGAATCACCCTGAGATTCCACACAGGCCCAATTCAAAGTGCTGGTCTTGGCCTATAAAGCCCTAAATGGTTCTGGCCCAACTTACCTGTCCGAACGTATCTCCCCTTATGAACCATCAAGGACCTTGAGATCGTCCGGGGAGGCACTGCTCTCGGTCCCGCCTTTGTCTCAGGTACGTTTGGCGGGGACGAGAGACAGGGCCTTCTCAGCAGTGGTCCCCTGGCTATGGAATGCCCTCCCTAGAGATATTAGATGTGCTCCCTCCCTTCTCACGCTTTGGAAGCAAGTCAAAACATGGTTGTTTGAGCAAGCATTCTCAAACACAGAGTAACGGATATGGATAAATGACATAGGAATGGACGATTGACGATGGAACTGGACAATGCTTGACAATAGGAGACGCTAATGATGTTGTTTTTATTGTTGTTGTGGTTTATGTAATTGAAATGCCTTAAAATGTTCTAAGGTACTGTGTATTCTGTTTTGTTGGAAACCGCCTTGAGTTGCCGATAGGCTGAGAAAGGCGGTATACAAATACAGTAAGTAAATAAATAAATAAATAAATCCAATAAAAAACTTGGAGGGTTGCATACTTTTCACATCTATGCTATAGTCATCCCAATAAATTTATTTATTTATTTATTTATTGGCAGTATTTATATTCTGCCCTTCTCACCCTGCAGGGGACTCAGGGCGGATTACAATATACATACACATGGCAAACATTCAATGCCATAGACACACAACATATATAGACATAGTCAGAGGCTATTTAACATTCCAACTTTTTCTGGCCACCAGGGGAGCTGTCGCTTCACCGTCCATCCGCAACACTGATGAAGTACTTCATCATTCCCCACATGCTTGCTGGAGATTTTCATGGCCTCATAAATTAGTTAAATTAGCCTCCCCACATAAGTGGTACCTAAATTTCCTACCTGACAGATGCAACTGTCTTTCGGGTTGCAAAGGTCAACAACAAGCTACACAAATTGGTGGGAAGCTCATTCTGACCCGGGCTGGCTTCGTACTCATGACCTTTCAGTCAGTAGTGATCTTAATGCAGCTGACTCCCAGCCAGCTGCGCCACATTTCCAAATGTTCCTTTCCAGTATGTCTAAAGGAGAGGGAGACTTACAGGAGGAGCAATATTTGAGTATTAAGAGTGGGAATATGCATGGAAATATCACACAGAGAGTCCACCGAGAAACCACTAAAACTGGAAGGGCTATCCTCCCAATCAGTATGCATAGGATTACAATTAAAACGTACCTTAGCTAAACACACAGAGATGAAGGAAACAAGACAGGCAATAAAGGGGGGAAAGGGAAGATAATCACATTGGCAAATACAATAGGTCTCCCACATTTGCGGGGTTGACTTTTTCAAATTTGAATATTCCTGGATTTTTTTTAAAAAGTTCTCCAGTGCAACTCGAAGACTGACACCTGCCAGGGTTTGGTGATAAGAGTCACTTAGAGGACCTAGAGATCCTTAGAGAGTCATGAGCCAACAATGTCATGCGACGGCTAAAAAAGCCAATGGGATTTTGGCCTGCATCAATAGGAATATAGTGTCTAGATTCAGTGAAGTCATGCTACCCCTCTACTCCAGACCACACCTGGAATATTGTGTCCAATTCTGGGCACCACAATTGAAGGGAGACATTGACTAGCTGAAATTTGTCCAGAGGAGGGCGACTAAAATGATCAAGGGTCTGGAGAATAAGTCCTATGAGGAGCGGCTTAAAGAGCTGGGCATGTTTAGCCAGAAGAAGAGAAGGCTGAGAGGAGACATGATGATGGTCATGTATAAATATGTGAGTGGAAGTCATAGGGAGTTGGGAGAGCGGCCTTGGAGACTAGAATGTGGAACAATGGCTTCAAACTAGAGGAAAGGAGATTCCACCTGAACATTACGAAAAACTTCCTAACTGTGAGAGCCGTTCAGCAGTGGTACTCTCTGCTCATAGTATGGTGGAGGCTCCTTCTTTGGAGGCTTTTAAACAGAGGCTGGATGGCCATCTGTCAGGGGTGCTTTGAATGTGGTTTTCCTGCTTCTTGGCAGGGGATTGGACTGGGTGGACCAAGAGTATCTTCCAACTCTATGATTCTATGGTGGGGGACCTAGAGATTTCAAAAGAGGTCTTCTTTCTGGTAAAACAATAGTGGTTTTTTTCAATTGGGTTTTTTCCAACTTTCACAGGTATCCTATGCCCCTAACCACAGGACTGTAATGCAAGAATTTGAGAAATACCAACTTTTCAAAAAACAATCTCTAAGTGCGATTTACCAATTTGTCTCATGAGAGAGGAAGATACTTCAAAATTATTATGCAAATTAGAAACTATTCCTCATACACTGAGCTTGTATAGATTTTTTTTTGCAATTCCAATTCATTCACCACAACAGAAAATTCAGTAACTATTCCCCCCCCCCCTTTAAAAAAAATGTACTGCCGCTACCAGTTCATTCTCACCTTTCCGTGACTCCTCTCCACCTTCCGGAAACACTTGTTCAGGGAAAGGTTATGCCGAACGGAGTTCTTCCAGCCAGTGGGCGCCGTAGCAAAGTAGGGGAAGCGTTCCAGGATCCAACTGTAAATCTCCTTCACCGGCAAGCTTTTATTTGGCGAATGCTCAATTGCCATGTATATCAGGAGGCTAAAGGAATAGGGGGGCTTAGAAGTGGCAGATTTCTTCTCGGGGTTGGAGTAGCAGGAAGCAGGGTAAGAGGGCGCGTTATCGCCCTCGATGTCGTACAGAGGACTAACTCCCGGAAGACCCTCGTTTCCGAGGCTGAAGTTTGTTAAGAGGTTCGTACTTTCGTGCAGCCAGTTCAAGTTTGTGAGTTCGTCATCAGCGACTTCGCTGTCCACGGCCGAGGCCTTCGGTCGAGCGGCATCGACGGCCTCCTCCGGCAAACTCCCCATTCTTTGGATGTGCCGTAGCCCCGCGGCTTTCTCTGCCCCCGGCGTTTCAGCTTTCCTATCTGGAGTCATTCCAGTTACTGGACCCATTTAATCTTGTTGGTCTGGGGAAAAAACCCAAAAATGGTTCTTTAGAAAGAAAGAAACAATCAGAGAACAAGGAGAGGTGACCTATGGCAATTCTGACCATCCAGCCATGGACAAACTTGGGCCCTCCGGATGTTTTGGACTTTAACTCCCACAATTCCTAACAGCCGGTAGGCTGTTAGGAATTGTGGGAGTTGAAGTCCAAAACATCCGGAGGGCCCAAGTTTGCCCATGCCTGGTCTAGTTCAATCCAGGGGTGAAAATTATGCGGCTCTCCAGATACTGTTGAACTACAACTCCTTTCAGCTTTAGTCACCATAGTAGAGGAATGCGAGAAGCTGCTATTCAACATCTGGAGTCCTGCAAACATCATATATTTCTTGCTTAGACCAAGTTCAGGGGTTCAGACAGAAGTATTTCCAAATCCAAAATGGAGAGGTGATATGATCTTGGATAACTTCAGAAGGTCCTTCTTTGGCTAGGCAGATTTTTAACACTAAAAAGGTTCTCAGCAAAGGAACCAGGGATTGTATGAGACGGCCCTTGGGTCCCTTCCTTCTCTATGAGTCTGTGCTTACTAACTGGAGCTAGCTATAGGGAACATACTATGCCCCTACTCACGTAGCTCCACTGGTTTCTGACAATTTTCCAGGTTCAATTCAAGGTGCAGGTTATTTTGTATCAAAAGCATTGCATAAATTAATATAATAGAAGGAGTGCAGGCGGCTAAATATCTTTTGACCAAAATCAGGCAGCAGCAATGGCATTGTCTGTAGCCTCCAACAATTCTTCCTCTGTACATGAGGCAGGGCATAGTGGACAAGCATACAAATGCGGAGTTGTCTGTTCTGCTTCACAGTCACATAAGGTGTGAGATTCTTTTAGGTAGTGCCATTTTGCCAGGTTGCCTTATCTACAAAGCCCTATATACTTCGGGTCCAACCTATCTTTGAGACCGCATTTCTTTCTATGAACCAGCACAGACTTTGAGATCAGCAGGAGAGGCCCGTCTCTCAGTCCCACCACTATCTCAAGTGTGGTTGGTGAGGACGAGAAAGAAGGCCTTCTCTGTGGTGGCTCCCCGGTTCTGGAATGCGCTCCCAAAAGAGATTAGGTTAGCCCCCACCCTTGACTCCTTCCGATCCAGCCTAAAAACATGGAATTTTAAGTAGGCTTTTGGTCTCCAGTAGGCTAAAAGAGAAGTATATCAGGTTGGCACTTTAGTTGTGATTTGAAGGCAGCTAGTTTTAACTACAGATGGTCTGTGTTTTAAATGGTGTTTTCATTTTATGCGATATTGTTTTATACTCATGTAGTTTGTGTTATGTACTACACTTGTAGTGCCTTGTAAGCTTCTCCAAGTCCCTTCTCCGAGATACTGGCAGGATATTTTAAATTATTATTATTATTATTATTATTATTATTATTATTATTTTACTGACACAAAAACACAGTATGTCACAGCAACGAGATATATATGCTGGATTTCGTATTTCAAAATCACAAGTCAAACACTTCCCAAATGTCTAGGACTGTATGATGTATTTTCGAATGATGCGCGCAGATCCAAGCAAGGTGGCCTTTTGCAGTTGACAGATCGTGATTTTTTCAATGTTTATTGTTTCCAAATGCCGGCTGAGATATTTTGGCACAGCAGCCAGTGCACCAATGACCACTGGGACCACCTGTACTGGTTTATGCCAGAGCCTTTGCAGTTCGATTTTGAGGGCTTGATAACAGGTGAGTTTTTCCTGATGTTTTTCCTCAATGCAACTGTCACATTAATAATAATAATAATAATAATAATAATAATAATAGTAATAATAATAATAATAATAATAATAATAATAATAATAATAATAATTCCAAGGTTAAATCTGGAACTTAGTGCATTCACAAACATGTAATTCATCACCATGTTTCTTTCCCAAAAGGGAAACTCAGTATTTTCAGAAAGTTAAACTTATAGTAAACCAACACACTAAGATTCAATGCTTTCTGTTATGATGTAGTGTAAATAAAAGGTTGTACTGTTAGCACTGCATTTGTTCAGTTTTTCCCATTCATACCTGAGCTTGTTGATCTGCAACAGTGGCATAGCTTGCCGTCTGCAGCTCAGGAGAAACAGAAATCTCCCAACCTGCCATTATTAATTAATATAGGTTAACTTTCAAACAATGCTAAAACTCTTCCCCTTCAGAGGTGCCTAAATCAGAGCCTGCGATTTCTAACCAGGTGGCTTTTTTATTGCAAAAATGCATTGTAAACTCCTTTGATCTTGTCACAAGGAAGCAATACAAGAAATGCAAGATTCATTGACTACCATTTTTCAAGTCTGTGGATTTGTTCGGTATTTAATGACAACATGCCCCTACTTGGGATGTTTAAGGGTAAAAGCTGACAAAGCATCTTCAGAGCAACTGGACAAGATTCAAATGGCTCATGGCTTGCTGTAAATCTCTCTCTCTTCCTCAAAGCCAGGTAGACTCTGAAATGAAAACGAGGGGTATGAAACCTGCAGGATTATTAGATATACCCTGGAGCTAATCTGGTTGAGAAAGGTTCACATTGGCTAGTCCCTCCAACAGTTCTCACAGATGTAAAACCTACCATATATACTGGAGTATAAGCCAAGTTTTCAGCCCTTTTTTTAGGCTGAAAAGCCCCTGTCGGCTTATACTCGAGTCAAGGTTATTTATTATTTTACTCTGTTAGTATTATTTTTATAACATTTATTATTTTACTTTATTATTATTATTATTACATTTACATTATTTTACTCTATTATTATTACATTTATTATTTTTCTCTATTTAATTATTATTACTACATTTATTATTTTACTCTATTTATTATTATTACTACATTTATTATTTTACTCTATTATTATCACATTTATTATTTTTCTGTTTATTATTGTTATTACATGTATTATTTATTTATTTATTTATTTATTTTACTTATATACCGCTATTCTCAGCCCGAAGGCGACTCACAGCGGTTCACAACAAATAAGAACAGCAAAAATTCAATGCTACAGTGTAAAAACAGTTAACAACCTAACATATTACATAATTAATAAACAATTACTACAATAACCATTCACTATCGTCTCATCATCAAAAACATGATCCAGATTCATCATCCATTATTCCGTTCCAATGTTCATTAACCAATCATTGCACTAATTATTCGAACGCCTGCTCAAACAGCCAGGTCTTCACTTTTTTGCGGAATACCATTAGAGATGGTGCTAGTCTAATGTCCGTAGGAAGGGTGTTCCACAGCCGAGGAGCCACCACCGAGAAGGCCCTATCTCTCGTCCCCGCCAGCCGTGCTTGAGAAGCAGGCGGGATCGAGAGCAGGGCCTCCCCGGAAGATCTCAAAGTCCTGGTGGGTTCATAGGCCGAGATGCGGTCGGATAGGTAGCTTGGGCCGGAACCATTTAGGGCTTTAAAGGCCAACGCCAGCACTTTGAATTGAGCCCGGTAGCAAATCGGTAGCCAGTGGAGTTGACGCAACAGGGGGGTTGTATGCCCCCTGCCACCGCTCCATATTAAAATCATGGCTGCCGAGCGTTGGACTAGTTGGAGCTTTTTAATCTATTACTATTATTACATTTATTATTTTACTCTATTTATTATTTTTATTATGATACTAGCCGTCCCCTGCCACGTGTTGCTGTGGCCCAGTCTGTGTATATGTGTTTTGTGTGTGTGTATGTGTGTGTATATATTTGTTTATATGTGTGTTTGCATATATATATATATATGGGGTTTTGTGCATGCATTGTAATGTATTATTTATTTTTTGACTTTTTAAGTCTCTACTGCTGTGTTTTTCGATGTTTTTATGAGTGATGGTCACTTGTTGGCCTGATACGTGTATTGTGCCAATTATGTGGGGTCAATTCGTCCAGTGGTTTTTGAGTTATGTTAATCCCACAAACGAATATTACATTTTAATATAGATTTATTATTTTACTCTATTTATTATTATATGAAAGCACATTGACACTGAAGAGGGTTAGAATAATGACTTAATCAGAGTTGGACAGACTTATCTTAAATTACAGTTTTATGTAAACATTTGAAAGCATTTAACCTACTGATGCCTCAATGTAATTGTATTGGGTATCTATTTTTCTTTTAAAATTAACTAGTAACTGCTGCATTTCCCCTCTAATTATACTCAAGTCAATACGTTTTCTCAGTTTTTTGTGGTAAAATTAAGGTACCACAACTTATATTTGGGTCGACTTATACTTGAGTATATACGGGTAAATGTCCCAAGTAGTTTTTGCATTGCAACTGAATTACTGTTTTGAAGTGGAAGCAAAGTACTCCAGGATTACAACAAATATAAAGGAGATCAATAGGTGGAAGCATCGCCCACATAAAAATGATCAAAGCTGAACCAATGAAAAGTCATTGGTGTTTAAAAGCCACATAATAAAAAAAATGATAATGAGTCACCAAATCCCGTAATAGCCTTCACTACTGCGACTAAGTAAGGATTGGGAGCATTAATACTAAACGAATTAACCACCAGCTGCAATAAATCTTGCAAATCAAAAGATGGGCAGTTCGAAGCCCGGGTCGGGGGTGAGCGCCCAACCTTCAGCCCACTCACTGCCATCTATCAAGTCGAAAACAGCTGTGAGTAGATAAATAGGTACTGCTTAAAGCAGGGAGGTATTTTAATAGCACCATAAGGAAATATCAGAAAGAATGCCATTGATTCAATCAGAAAAGGAGGAACTATGTGAACAAGGTTCTTCGGCATAGATGATGGAGCAACAGCACCCCCTGTGGCAGGAATAAAGCACAACCTCCAAGATGTCGAAGATGGGAAAAGCTTATATACCTCTATCTGTGTACTGTGTCTTCTCCTGTCAGTGTATAACAGCATTGAATGTTTGTCATATATGTGTTCTGTGATCCACCCTGAGTTCCCTTCAGCGTGAGAAGAGTGGAATATAAATACTGTAAATAAATAAATAAATACTCTTTGCATC